TTTTTGGCCGGTGTACTGGGAACAACTTCTGGCACAATGTCAATGCTCTCACTGACTTTGCCGGCGTTGCCAACTGCACCGTTTCCGTCTAACATCTCAGTCTCTGCCACTCCACACGCTTCCACGACATCTGCTGCTGGGCCTGCAGGGAACTGCAGGGAAGGGAGGTGGACATGAAGCAAACAGGGGTGCAGGACAGGCTCTATCAATTAGGCAAAACCTTGAGAAACGTTCAATGCCCTCAAAAAATGCTACAACAGGCTTGCCAAAGCAGAAGCCATGCCTTCATTTTCATGTTCCGCTCGCAGGTCTTGCTTGGCATCAGCTGTCTTGGGCTCATTCATGTCAGATTGTACTGCGTCACCTTCAGTTTCACTTCCGAACGTGCACAGCATGCACATGAAAAGAAAAGAAGTCAGGTGATGGGTGTCTCTAGGCAGCCAGTATAGCCTCTGGAATGCAAAAAGTAAGGGGTGTCCAACAATAATCTCTGGAATTTCACGACAATTTTTTCGGACCTTGCCTGACTGACCAAAGCTAGAAAGCTGCTGATCACCGTTCCCCTGCCCCATCTTCAAAAGGTCTTCTGCTTTGCCCACAGTGTCTGACCCACACGCATTGCCCACAATGCTCTCAGGCTTCGGCGTCACAGCATCCTTCAGTGGAGAAAGCGCTGGACGAAGTCTACATGTGGGCCGAGCCAACAGAAAGATGCTCAAAGATAGGAAAACAGAATTGAGCCGAGTTTCCTCTGAAAAGCCATGCTCTTTGGCCTGCTTCTTACTTTTGTATTGCTTGGTCTTGCCCTTCTCATCTGTCTTAATGTAGACCCCTGGGGTCAAAAAGGAGTTTGTTTCATCGGATAGCTGACAGCCATGGTTGCTAAGTCCGTTCTCGGTACTTGTTTAATGATGGCTTTTTCATTGTCTCATGATGGTTCTGTCAAAGCATCCAAAGAATTTCAATGTCTGCAGGCAAGAAGCAGTACTTGCGATCACTGCTGATCAGCTCACGCTGCTCAACCCGCCACATGGCGTGCGTCACCCCCCCCCCTTTAAGCTCAAAAAAGCTTCGCCACACAATGAACACACATGCTGAAGACGTGTACTAGACTGGCGTTGTTCTGTTAGAGACCGTCATGTATGTATACATAGGGGTATCGTTTTTTATCAGTCCCCTATCGTTTTTCAAGGAAAATCACAAAAGCAACACAGAGATGAAACGTCCCTTACTAAAGTAATTGATGATAATTTTGAGGTTGCCTCATATAAATATATACAAATATTATGCAGTATTTTACAGTATTATACATTATACACAGTATATATATAGTTATATATATATAGTTATATATATGCAATTACATGCACAAGTGTTCCCATCGATTGCGGGCATTTCTCTGAGAGCGGGGCATTTCTGTGCCAAGCCACAAGAATGGTATGCACAGCATCAACATCGCAAGCGCCAGCCTCAGGGAAAGCTCAAACGTGCCAGGATGCCCTCGGACCACAACAGGATCATCAGCTTGGGGTCAAACCTGCTCAAAGCTGCCAATACTTGAAGCTCGAAGCAGCTGATTGATTTCGAAGCAGCATCGAGTATTTTGTCCGACATTTCTCCAAGAGACCATGTACCATATGAAACGTGCTGCTCGACCCCCACACGCCTGCCATACACTAATGCCTTGTTCGCTCATGTTCTGTCCACACTTGCCAACTTAAGATGTGAGCACACAAGCTGGAGGGTGAACCTAGGCATGAGAACACCAAACAATCAACCAGCACCACTTGAACAAAGCAACCGCTACAATTACAAGCACATCCCCAAACACCCTGCGCCAGCCTTGCCAAAATACCATACAGTCCGCCCCCCTGAAGTGGGCACGACAATTTGCCCACTTGCGCATCGACTCTCACTTACGCATCGATTTGAAGCTCACTTACGCAGCGATGGCTAGAGCATCACATCTTACATCTGCGCGCAACGGATACACAGTTCTCTATGATCCAAGGATTGCCATGTCTCTGTGATCTGAGGATAGCCCGACGCACGAGCGAGAAAAAAACCGACGCAACAAGCGATACCTCGCCCGCTTCGATCGTCACCCTCCTTCGGAAACCTCGCGTGACGGTGGGGCCCAGCGAGGAGAAGCAGCGACGGTCGGGCGAAGTGCCAAGACGCATGTCACAGATCAGGACCCAGGCCAGCTTCGAGAGGCCCCAAATCCGCTCCTCAGACAGGAGCAGGAGCAGTCCAAACCGGTTCGAGACCGAAGAAAACGCGTCCACTCCGGTCGTGGAGCCCGGTGGAAGGGCGGTGACGAGAGACACACATGTTTTGAAGTCCAGGCTCGATGGTGGTATTTGGAGAATTTGACCAGGCTCGATAGCGCAGATGATGCACAAGCCACATGATTTCAGGAGAAAAAACGCACAGATCCCAACGTCCCGTCAGTCAGTGCAAACGACCTGTCCTACGCTTGTTACTTGGATTGGATATTGCCTTAGACGCTGACCTATTTAACACGCTGACCTGGGGATGTCTGCCATTTCTGAGAGAAAAGCAAGACGTTGCATGAAGTTGCATGGTAGGCCAACTTAGGGTTAGCAAACCAACACTGTCAGCTTACTGTCGAGTCTCAGAGAGTTTCGAGTGAAACACACCCACCATCCAATGGAACCCCTCTGGGAGAACTGCCAGCACAGCACAAGTTAAGTTAACAAATAATTTGAAAAGTTGTGGCCTCTATACTGAAAAAGACTAAGCCTGCTCGGAGTCAGTGGATGTGATAGTAATCCAAGTCAGTGGATGTGATCGTAATCCAATCTTGCATGGCCGACATGCCACAATGGATCACAATGGGAAGACACCCTACTGACACCTACTAGCGCACACTGAAAACAAACAAGCTAGCATAATCTAGCATAGAAACAAATAGACTAAAATAAGATAAAATAAGACTATAACTTTGTATGACTAAATAGACAAACAAACCAACCAACAAACAAACAAACTTCCCGAGTCCTATAGGGTTCCAAAAAAAACTTCCCCAGCAGCCCAGCGTCACATCCGGTGGTCAGCATCGGAACAGGCTGTGCTGCGAATCGGCTCGGCAGGCTGTGCTTCGACTCGTAGCTTTGGTTCACTTCGAGTGCCGCAGTTGTGTTGTGTACCTGGAAGACATGAGAAGAACATGGGCCGAGCCAGGTACGAAACCCTTATGACATGAAAAAGAAGCAAGGAATCAGGTCTTCCTGGACCCGACTTCGTTCGTATACCTTGGAAGATAGGATATGAATCCGTAAAACAAAAATATAAAACATGTACTTGCACCCATTTTCTGAAGTACCAACTGAGATTCCACATTGTTGCTCTCCTTTGCAATCCAGCAAAGTACCAATAAAAAACATGGTCGACCACGTCACGGCGCGAACAAACGCTGAGCGCGGCGCGCAAACGAAACGCGCGTCGACAGCATCGACAGTCATGCGGATCGCAACTAGCTCGTCACTCTGTCTGGGTACTGGGAAACATACATACCCAGGAAATTATAGTAATACAGGAACCGGACAAAGTCATCCCTCAGTCACCCCTTGCCACTCTTTCAATGCCAAATCACCATGGCAACGCTACTTCCAAGAAGTCATCCCCCAGTCACCCCCGGGAGCTGATCCCAATGGAACGCTGATACCCAAACAAGGTTTGTCACCAAAAAACCGACCCAAAGAGTGCTAAGACCAATGGAACGCTAGTTCTGAAAGAGTGATTGATTGATTTACAACCAACAGAGTTCGCTTGTGTTTGGGAAAAGGAGACAACTTTCCGCAGAGCATTCCCCCCAAGGCAGGGTAGCAATACCTAAAAGAAAAGTGACGACATGGTCTTTTGCCTGTAGGTACCTGGACCTTCAAGGGGTGTCCTGGCTGGAGGTCCCTTAATGGTGTAGGGGCTTCCATTGGGCACCCCTTGGAAGGTCCTGCTATGTATGTCTGGGTTCGTAGTGATCTTTGAACATGATTCCGAGTTCGGGATGGACAGTTCAGGGGCCGGACGGATGGAGGTCGGCTGGATCGACGGATGGACGTGCCTTTCTTTCTTTTTTTCGGAAAGCGCCTGCATCGCTCTCCATTGCTCTACGAAGTTGCTGGCAAGCAAACAGGAGCAGACGCACTTGTGCCGCTTTGGCAACTCTTGTGCTTCCCCAAGTGTTTTACCAAACCAGTTCAGTAGTCAGTAGTAGTCAAATATCATGGAACACTGGATGCCACAGTGCTTCCAAAGACTCACCCCAAACGTCGGATATTTGGACTTGCAACGCGCCAAACGTCTATAAATCACGAGGTTTTGTAGCAAAACGCCCAGTGTCCAACACGTCGCCTCGTCGGCGCGGCGAAGAAATCCGTGCAGCGCGAAGAATCGGATAGGCTCCACGTATACGGCTCCATCGGATCGCTGTTCTGAACAAAGATCAACGAACGGACGAACACATCACATGGTTACGTGCATGGCACACCCTGTTTGCAATTCGGAAAGTATAGGGGACTATGGGCTCCAAGTTCCTTCTGAGGTGTTTGGGCTGGGTTTGGAGGGTTATAGTCTTAGCAGCTTCCGCTTCCATGTGAGCTGTGCGTCCGTTCGTGCACGAGTTTCCATGCCACAGATCGAGTTTCCACACCCACACTCCATGCCTAAACACCTGTAACAGGGCATCCCGGACACATCTTCAGACTTGAGAGACGCTCGACTGGGGCCTTCATAGCCGGCGCCGCCATGCTCCTGTCGCCCTGAAGCAACGGCGGCTTCTGCGCAGGGCTCAGACTTTTCTGACTGCCCGCCATCGCGGGACACCTCTTTCCACGGCTGACATCAGAGAAATCCGAGAAATTTGTTTGGCTCGATCCATGATGCGTCGCTACTCTAGGGTCTTGAGGTACACGCCTGTGTTGCATCTCCATGGTGAGACGATGATCCGATAGCCCTTGGAGGAAGTGTATGACTACCTATATGAGGGTCAAACCGCTTCGAGAATGAAACACATGGAGAAGAAAATGCGACGAAGAGAAGCCTCTGTTGGAGGCAAAGATGCTCCGCCACATCAGATCCTCAAAGCTGTTGGAGGAAAACACTGACAGCCAAGCGAAGCCCAAGCCGCAGCTGGGTGTTACGTGCATTAGTGACACAACCAGTATAAAGGTTAAATATCCATACATGAATGCACACGCCTCTGAAAGGAGCATGTCGGCCCGTGTTGCTTCGACACAAATTTTCCAGGATTATGTATATAGGAATATAGGATGGTTTGTTGTCCATTCTGGATTGCTTTAATAGAAGGATCTCATCAAACAAATGCCACACAATACTGTGACTCAAACACTCCATCCGGGATCAAGGAAGAACGAGACGACTACGTGCTGATGGACTGACAATTCACCTGCACAACAAACCTTACTATATAAGTGGCTTGGTCACATAGCATTTAAGTAATCTACACACTACTCTACACATATTTGCCGATACTGCTGCTATCACCCAACTAGACTGCTATCACAAAAAAAAAACATATGCGTTCTAATTATGACTCATGATGGAAAAAAGAACAAACATGTGCAAACAACTTGCTGCCAGCAATCACATGCCTCTTCTTCGGTCTCTGCATGCCGCTGAAAGCCGCTTCTTCGGTATTGAATTCACATCATTTGATGTGGCCTTCAATCGTTAACACCGGCGGTTGCGGAGCCTCGGGTTATCCGAAACTCCTTGCAAGCCTCAAATTCCCAGCGGCCCAGGAGGGTCCATTCCAGCCTGGCCGCTGCTAACGGAGACAGCTGATATGATACTTACAAAAAAAACACAGGCAAACCAAAAAAAGACACGAGTAATTAATAACAGAAAATACATTGGAACTGCTATCCTCAGACTTTGGGCTGGACTTTTACTCTGGAACTTCGCGCTTGGCGTAGCGCTGTGCACCTCGACTTTCGGGGGGGGTGTCACACTTGGCTGTGCGTCATGGCGTGCACCCCTGGGCGCCAGGTCTTGCCGTGGACCGGAGTCATGGCAGTTCCTCGATGTTCAGGTCGGGGCGTGAACCTACCGGCGAATTCAGCGAAAAACAGTTGTCTCACCCTAAACGGAATTCGCTCGACTCGACCCCAAATGCTCCGTCAAAACTCAGCCCGACTGGTCCTTCAAAACCTATCCCAAACTCTCCATGGGACTGCCATATATGCCTATATTGACCCCCAAAACCACCCCAATGTAGACATAATATATAATGTATGGCAGTCCCGTGGAGCGTCTGGGTATTAGATTGGTGAGAACCCCCAGACCCCTCCATATGCGAGTGGATTCGTGTCCTGGGACAAACGTTAAACCATTGAGGGACAACCTTAACCTCAACGACCTCAAGAAGCCGTCGTCGACAAATTAAATGGAATCAACTTGGAATGGAAGGCACCTAAGGGGGAAATGAAACACAACATAATCTTATATAATGTTTTGTTGTTTTTGTTGTTGTTTTGTGTTTCAGTTGTTGTTCATAGTCCTGATATATATATATATATTCTGATGTAAAACGTGTTGTTTAATTGTTTGAATTTGTTGTTTCTGTTGTTTTCATAGTTCTAACACTAGCTCTATTCTTCCCCCAAAGGGATGGCAAATTATGAAGGAACCACATTTCTACAATAGATCCCCACCTCGCTTGAGCATGCTCCCGATTTCATTGTTCCATGGTGTCAACTCAGAACGGCTCAAATAGAGCATTCATGAGCATTCCCTTATAAGATGGAAACCCTTGGACATCGACAGCATCCGGTCTCCGGCTCATGGGCATCCTGATATTTGGAGATCACTCCTCACTCCGATCCTGTTTCTCAGCTGGACAAATCGCTGACGAACCTATCATGCCCGCACGAGTGGGATTCCGGACCTATCCACGGATCAGGCACGCCAGGGCCGCGGTGAAGTCACTCATCGCCTGGAGCGGCACGACTAGGGACGAGCGGCGGAAGGGGTGGCTTTTGTGGGTGGAAGGTGAAGGAAAGCAATTGGTTTGTAACGGGGGAAGGGATCCAGAAATCTCTCCCTCTCTGGTCTCTCTCCGTACATTCTCTGGAATCATCATTTAAGACAAGTTTCCTCTACAAAAAGGTGGTTCAGAATGAGGATGAACAACGTATATATTGTTTCTTGGAGACAAGCGATTCTGCAACTTTGAAGTTTACAACATTGTGTCCCAAGAGGGATGGACGGACTCCAATAGAACAAAAAACAAACGTGGCAATGCCAAAATCGCAGCCAGCTATGGGCCTTCTCCTGTCTTTTCTGAACCCGGCCCCACAAAGCCAAAGAATAGTGCTTGCTATCCAGCAGATCCATGATGTTCCACGTCGAGGTGCTTGATGGAGGATAAAGGGTACCAAAACATCCCAAACATCTGCTTACTAGCCCACTGGATGGGTCTAAAGCCAAGCCAAAATTCTTGGAGTTGTCCCGGAAGCCTGGTGATACATCAAAACCAAGAATGACACAAAACTTCACTGAATATGAATGCTTCCAACACTAGGGACGAGAGTTTTCACCTAAGTCGCCTCTCAGCCCGACTGCCCTGCACCTCTTGTTGGACCAGTGCGCTTTGCCGAATCGCCAAGGAGGCCCTGGACTCCGTTTCCGCCTGGACACCGGCATCACCGGCAATTCTGAGGGCCCCAGGGGTGCCCTTTCTTCTGGAATCTGCAATCCATCGAAGTCCGCTGGCTTTGGATGTAATTGTTTGTTTAGTATGATCTTGGTTCCCGTATTCCTTCACCATTCTGCATGGTGCGAAGAAGCCCCCTGTGCGAAGAAGCAGTGCAACTGTCTCTCGCATCAACTCTTGGACTCGTTGCCGTATTTTTGTCCATGCAAAACATGTCTCTACCTAGACCTGCCGGAAGTCCGGAGATCCACAAGCAGTTTCTATTGGATACCCCGAGGCGAGTCCGCTGCGCACGGCACGGCTCCCGTGGCTCTCGACCGAAGCACGGCCTGCTGCTGGTACATCTGTCTCACTTGCTGCCAGCCTGGACATGTGGAGACCGGACGAGACGGTCTCCAGGGAACCGGTCCGCACAGAATCACCGGTCCCATGGGCCGTGGAAAGAAGGAGTTTTAACAAATCTGACCGACCTTGCATGTGTGAGGGGTCGGTGTTTTGGGGTGATTCTCTTGTGGGTGTGATGGCATGATATGCCATGTGTCACACAATGTATCGTTTTGGCCATGAAACACCACGACACCTTTGCAGAGTTGATAGGTGATGCAAAAGGGACAAATACCAGAGGCCGGTCAAAATGTGTCCCCTGAATAGTCCAGTGCAGCTCGCAACATGCCTCCAAGCAATGAAACACTAATTCCAGGTAGTGAAGACTTTGACTAATTGTGCACTTTGGTCGAGCGATGGTTCAATTACATCAATCAATCAAAAGAGCGATTTCTGCACAACTACCCCTCTTCAAAGAGAAGCTCCACCACTCGGGAGCGCTCCCCATGACTGGGCGTTTCAGAAACAGTCCGGCGACCGAGGCACTTGCAAAGGCCGTCTTGTAGCTCTTCATACGCGGCGGAGCAGGGCGGCTCTTCTTCCTTCAAGAAAAACATAACAAACGAATACAAACGATCTGTTAACACTTTGCTTTTTCATCAGTACACTGCTCAAAATAGCTCAACATGATACGCTATAGCGATCGTGTGCGTTTAATCTGTCAAAAGTGTGATCACCACCCGAGCAATGCAACGTCGGTCGGTCTAAGACCTGAGATGTGCCGTCCGGTCCGAGTGCTGGTCCCCCAGTACGTAGACTCGCGACACGGACGAACTGAAGATTTGTGACTTGGATGACTTGGCCAATCCTGCTTGGCTCTGCCCCTAAAGAACATGACACCTACACTAGATGATATCAAACCTCCGCGTTGAGCCTGGCAAAGTGCGCGCAATGGTGTGACTGGCCATCATGGCCATCACCAAAGATGAAAGAACACTTGCCCAGCATGTGTAACACGTACCAGTGAATATGCCAACTGAGGAGTCACTGAGTCAACCAACGGCAAAATGCCGTAAATTGCATTGAGGTGGTTGGGGATGGTTGGGGTAGGTTTTGGGGCTCTAACCATCTGAGGATGTGGTTGGAGTCCTAGGGCATTGTACCAGGGTTTTCAGGGTATGGGTCTGTGTCTTTGAGGTCTTTTTCGGTGAGCCGCGGTGTAGGTACTGGTGGCCCTGGTGCTTGCGTACCATCCACTGCCAAAAACCCTTGGAAACCGGAACGATCCCAAGGACTTAGCGCTATGGCGCTATGTCGCTGGTTGGCAACATCTCCTCCGCTTCCCATGCAGTCGTCATCGTGCCTGATGCAGTGGTTCCTGACCCTGGAAAACCGGTCGCTCCGCTCTCGCTCGCTCCCGTTCGCGCTGCTTCATCCCACGGTGGGCGCTTCGCGCTGCTTTGTCACGCCTCCTGGGAGCCTTCGGGGGTCGAAGCTCTTGGGGAACCCGAAGAGAGGCCGCCAGGAGAGTGGTGGGCCACTCTAGCTGCTGCGCTTGGCAAAGCCACAGGTGCTCGCCGTAGCATTGCCCAAAGCTGGGATCGCGCGGCTCTTGAGGGGGAAACGGGTCGGTGGAGAAACATGGACTGAAAAACAATGTACAACAGATTGCTTCAGTGGTCCTTACATCACGTGTTGGTCTCAAGCACTTCTTGGGGTTCGGTGGCAAGTAGTGACGCCCGTCATGTCAAGGGATAGCATGTCACTTGGCAAGTGATTATAAACTTTAAAAACTTTAGTAGCAACACATCATAGCATTATATCATGTCAAGTAAGTATAAACTTTAGTAAAGTGAATGCTATAATTAATGCAGTTTATGCCTTCCACAACACGGAGCCATCAACTGGAAACCACCCTGTTTGCCATGTACTGGTCCCAAAGAATGCAGTAGCTTGACCCATGTGCATTGCTCATCCAAAAAAACAACATCAACAGCGGCACACTCCCCGAAATCATCCAGGTTACTTGGAGGACCATAGCCCCTTTCATGGATGACCTGATGACATCTGAGTGAATTAAATTAGTTTCATTAATTTCGTTCACCTCGTACCTCGTCTTAATTTCATGTTTTGAAATTATTCACCTCGCCTCGTTTAATTTCAATAATTTCATTCACCTCGTCTGCATTTGTTGGGGGGGGCTGAATGCCTGCCATGGCTTCCTGCACATCCAAACTGGTAATCGGGCCTATTTCTTGACAATAGGTTGTTTTTTGTCTTTGGGATTCTTGGGGCTCTCTGCCCTGCATGGGTGGAAGAATCCCTGTAGCTCCTGGAAACTACACCCAACAGTGGCCTCTACAAGCCCCAATCCCTTCAAGCATGCCTTCAAGCATGCTTGGGATCAAATCAGGCCTATTTCTTGGAAATAGGTTGTTTTTTTGTTTTTGGTATTCTTGAGGCTTCTGTGTGGCATGGTGAGTGGAGTCCCAGTAGCTCCTGGAAGCTATGCCCAGCAGTGGCCCTTACAAGCTCAAAAGCTTTGTCCTGCTGCTGTTGCTGGACTTACCTCGCTTATTTTCGTTTCGAAATTATTCTACCTCGTACCTCGTCAGGTGAGCTCGCCTTAATTTGCCCAGATGACATCTGATGAGGATCCCAAATCCGAAGACCAAGCAGATGGTCCCATCCACGTAACAGTTGATTCTTTCATTGGATCGTTCTCACCCGCATCCAGCTCCATCAAGATCACCCCGCCCTGCCCCCTCCTGTGGCGCGCGTAGGCCGCGGCGCGCAAGAGCTCGGAGGGCAGCGGAGAAGGTGGCAGCTTCTGCGGAATCCGTTGCCGCTCCTGGCATGGCGTGAAAAAAGAAGCACGTAGAGCTCTACAATATTCTACAGTCAGTCCAGGAAGCCGCAGAAAGAAAGACATCTTCTCCATGGTGGGGTTTGATCGGAACATCAGCATCACCCGAAGCCTGCAAAACTAGGTACACCAGGGACCACCAAATGATTCAAATTTTGATCAATGATCCAGGATGAGACCCCACTGAGAGGAGATATAGGCACCCTTTTAAAGGGGCCTGCTAAAGAAGACAACGGTTTTTTCTGTGAGTCAAAGAACTAGACATAGTACATAGTGAACCCAAGAACAAGGCTTCCTTCTACTGGAGAATTTCATGAAACACCTGTTAAAGTACGTATATATAACTATACTGACCACAACAAAGCACTAGCTAGTTCAAAAGTCACTACTGTATATGATTTTTGCAGCCTCAAACCATGGAACAACAAGATATGTCCGAACTATTCGAATTCATACAATATTGCAGGAGAAAACGCGGCGGTCAAATCTGCATGTCGCCATGATCATGTCGGAGAAGGAGCTCTCATTCTTGGAGTGAGAGTCTGGTCAACAGCAACACATACGGCGCCACGTCCCGGGTGTATCCGATGATCCAACGAGGTGACAAGTTATCCAATTGAAGTGCATTAATGGTCACTTGGATCTGCTCAAGGTACCTCAATGAACCCGTCTGCCCCTGTAGATTGTTCAGGTCCGGCAACTTGACAACCAAACGAATCCAATGACCCAAACAGTATATTGGTTGGTGGTGAACACACATCAGTCGGTGGGTTCAACCATCTCAAGTAAAGCTCACTGCTTCAGATCGCCACTGCCATGGGCGTGGCCAAACTCCAGATCGCGTGGTTTCTAAGGTACCATTCCAAGCTGAGGATCCAACATGTTCTTTGGGTTGAAGTTCATCTCCTTCCATCGGATGACGCTCGATTCACGCTCTCAGTGCACGCTTGCCCGGCGGCAAACTCGCGCCCGCCTGGCGCTGGAAGTGTTGCCAGCTGGCAAATGCCCACTGACTCGCCCAGTGGGCGTGCTGCACACTGGCCGGCGCCACCTCCTGGGCAGGCGGAACCCGCGCGGCGGAACCCGAGTCGGATCAGCGGATGCGGTCGCGAGTGGGAGATGGAGTTGGATAGGTGGTCGAGGTGTGAGGTGTTTGCAAAACAAACAGTATTGAGAGAAAACACGCTATCATGGGCTATCTATGCATTATCTGCTTAGTAGTCTGAGTCTTTGGTTTAAAACCTTAGTGTATCAACGGTCTACTATACATGTAAGGTCAACTGTCTACGTAGAAACTCCCAATTACCCAATTGTTTCGGACTGGACCTCGGTGTCGAGCCATGCGGTCGTCACACCACAGCCAGGCTGCGTCTTCCGGTGATGGATTGGGACCTTAGGGACCCAGGCTATCAGCCAGGCTGCGACCCGTTTCAAACCCCCGTGTTCGTCCATAGGATCCAAGTGCGGCATAGACCCGTTGAAACGGATCCGTTTTCCTACCGAACCTCAGGTACGGTGATGTGTTCGACACGGTTTTTGAGGTTTGGAGGGTCCAAGTACCTTCTGAGAAGGTACTTGGATCCCTAGGGTATATATATATATTTATACATACTTTTTTCACCAGGGATTGATGACCATCTCCCCGAAGGAATCCAGTCTCCTCCAACTGTTGGCACAGCCAGTGGCAGTCGCGAGCCTTAAAGGGACCGAGGGGAGGCCAAGCAGGGTATAGACGGAAGATGGCCGAAACATGTTGAAACACGGCGAAGATTGTACTTTCAGGCACGTTCCGTTTGACCATGCAACATGTATTCCAACTGTCTGGATGGCAGAAATCATGCAGCACCTACAAAACCCATTGTTTTACTTTACAGGGTGAACTGCACATCTCAGTTCGTGCACGATATCTTCCAATGTTATTAAACCAACACATGAGATGACATGCACGGACACAGTTCCAAAAACCTGGGAGTTCGGTCCAGTCTTGCAAAGCTGATGAAACGGGTGGGCGTCTCCTCTAAAGTCTACCCCAATCCTGTCCGGGGGGGAAAACACTTGAAAGTCGGCATCTTCTTCCAATGACACATGCTTTGGCTTTGGGGGTCAATGTAGTGTCTAGGACAGGGATGTGTAGAACACAAGACATGTTGATTTGCAACCCCCATGTCTACCTCCAAAGAACATATCGACCAAGGGGACTAGTTAGGGGGAGTCTCCCTGTTGACATACCACACGCGTCCATTAGATTCATTTGTCAAGGAAATGGATACGACCAAGTCGCGGAATTGGCATGGGAGCCGAGCTCTTCCCAAAGCCTGGCAGAAGTGGCAGCCACACTGAGGAAGGATCCACACAGCAAACGTTGCCTCGGGCGTGCAGGAGAGCATCGAATCGTTGACCGGGCACTACCGGGTATGAGTGACATGGAGGATGAGTGACATTCGGACATCCCCAGTCAATGAAGTGGTTTAAGGATGTTTAACATCGACAGAACATGTCCCATACTGATGAAAATTGTGTCCTCAGCCTGCACTCCAGCCCAGCTTTTTCAGCGATATGCAGTAGTCCCAGCTGGATCGAAGGCAATCTTAAACAAAAGGTGGCATGCATTCAGGAAGCTTCCATGTGAAAAAACGGAATGGCACATTGCACACGATTGCGTTGCTGGCTGCAACACTTGCTTTGTGAACCCATCACCTGCCCATAGCCCATAAGGAAGGACTGGGCGAAGCCCTTAAGTACTAGCCAAAAAACTTACGAAGGTGGGAGAGCACAAGCTGTCGTGATTGATCTGCTTTCTTCCAAACACTTCGCGGGACAGAAGATTGTCGAAGCAGCATCAATCCAGGTTTGCGATACCGATTGACAGACTGCACTGCTTTCCACCTACCACGCACTTGGATTTCCTTGAGAGACCTTTCTTGGTGAAAGGCATCATGCGAAGCACCACTGTGTCTTAACATGTGGGGACACAGATTCAAGTGACCTAAAGAAACGGCAGAGGCAGCTTGTTTGATTTGTTTCTCATACTGTTCAAGAGATAATGTACCAAACAACATACCGTCAGCAGAACAGGCATTCTTAACCAGAAGGCTCGCAACCTGATTGACATCAGGTCGTGCTGTTGTGTCAAGAAAAACGCATTCGTCAAACTCACCGTTCTTCGCAGGGACTCCATCATCTGAAAGGCCTACCATGACCCCCCAACATTTCTGACGACGACAAGGCTTCAACATATGTCGCACTGTTAGCTCCAGCAGTTCAGATGGACGAAGGTAGGTATCACCCTGCAAAATGATTGCTGCTGCAGTGAAAAAGTTTCCAACTTCACAAGCTGACAGTGCCACAAGATCCCAAAGCACGAGGTCAACTCCTGTGCGTGATTTACCTGGAAATCTGGCTTTCCAACCCTTCAAGGCTTGACGAGAGATGGGAAACTTCTCTCTGTCATGCATGTGCCAAGAAGACGGGCTACGAAGCATGATATATCCAAAAACTGCATACGATGCCTCAGTCAGAGAAACCCCTTCCCAGCAAAGCTCGTGGATATACCTGGACATGGCTTCATCTGTGCGAAGGTGACTGCCAAGAGACTTATTGTTCAGCTTGCACCACGCGACAAATTCAGAGGCTGATCTATCATACACCTTCAATGTCTTAGGCTTCACTTTGGAGCATTGCAGGATGCGGTTATCCGAGACAACGACTGGCAGATGTAATGGATCACGCTTTCTTCTTTTGACGGGCTCGAATTTTTCTGGCTTTTCGCTGTGCGATTTCCGCTTTTGAGTGGTGCCCGAAAGCAACTTCATCGAGGAGACCTGGGATCTCCGAGGTGATTGGAAACTGCTTGTCTTGTTCTGTGCAAGTCTTTGGTGCAACTGACTGACCACGGCATGGCTTGAAGACTTGGCCAAAGTCTGGGCCAAGCTTTTTCTTATCATGTGTTCTCACCAACGGATCATCCCTAATCACTCGAGCCCACTTATTGCAAAGTGAAGGTGGATATGCACCAGCAAGAGTGGTTTTATTGGTCCATCCATATGTTGGAGACCACGTGCGGCCTTTCAAAACTTCAGCATGCTTATGGTGTGGACACGTGGCAGCAAGGCTAACAAGGCTACTGCAATTCGACAACAACCGTGTTGGCTTTTTGAAGGGTTGCCCATAAACACACATTGGAAAGTCAATCACAACGGCATCGGGAAGCCCAAACAAATCTTGGATACAATCGAGACTCCAAATCCTAGAAGACTGGGGGTTTTCGATGCTCCACTTGACATCCAGCTTGCTGCACAGTCTGGCCAGTTCACAAGAGAAAAAAGCGAGTTCACAACCTATCCTCTCATTGAATCTAGCTTTAGTGAAGTTTTTGATGCCACGCCTAGCTCTGGAAAAGACTGTGCAAGGCGTACCCATATGAAGGTAGTCGACATGACCATCCACAATCCATTGTCGCACTTGCCGTTGCACTGGTTCAATTGTGAGATCAAGGCTAGGATCTTGTTTGATGTCCAAAGGCGTATGCACAAACAGCCTATGACTTCTCATAGCTTTGGACAAGTTTCCTTCACCCGAGAACAGCTCCCAGAAGACTTTCACCCCCTTCGCCTTTTTTACACTAGTGCTGGAAGAAGCCGGACGTCCATGGTCATTGCATGCACCGCTGGCAGGATGCCAGGAACTCATCTTGGAATCACAGGTGCTATTTTTGGCCATATGATGGACGGCAGTCCAACCCAACCCAGGCGGAGGCACTAAGGCATCAAGGGATAAATTAGTCTTGCAACGAGCGGACACACTAGGGATCACTGAAGGCTTGCTAGGACTGAAGACAGGCTCTGCTAAAATCACATGTGGGTCAGGGACTGGAGTCCTGAACCACTTTCCTCTGGAAGGTGCATCTGCTAAATTTCGCTTTGTCTCAAGATGTCGGATCCTCCACTTTATCTGAAGCGCGTTTTGTATGGCAGCACTAGACTTACACAGCCTATTCAACGCAGCACTCGACGACCGCCCTTTCTCAAAGGCCAACACAGCACTAAGGTTGTCAGAGAAAGTTAGCTTCTTAGTGCCACATTGCGACGACACCCTGGCAGCTCTCTTCAATGACGACAAAAGCACCCGACCTTCCTTGATATTGATGTGTTCATCGGGATTCCGCCATTTGCGCATCCAAAGCAACTTGTATGAACCTTCGCTCACCATATCAGAAGGAATTGGTTCCACCAATGCCGGGACCTCAACATCCTCACGCCTCTTTCTAACAGCTTTGAACTGGGAAACAATCGGACTTGTCTGCAACCAATTTCCGTCAACCAAAGCTTGCTGAAGCCAAACTCCATACTCAGTGTTGGGCCCCACTCCGGCTCTGACAAAGGCCTTGATGTGCTCACGGCTTTCAACCTCATCCCTATTACCAGGCCTGTTAAAAAACTCAATGGCAGATTTGAAGTCATCAGGCATTGGGATGAACCTCCATTTCTCACGGACACGAGCCACTTCCTGGATCTTAACCTCAGCAAAACTACGAGTCAGCATGGCATATCCAGAAGTCGAGGAATCACCCATATCAACCTGGTTGACAAAGCTACCATCAAGCTTGGCTCTTGCAAACCAAAGGAGTGAGGAGGCTTGCATGATCTCGGCACGCACTGCTGGCCAGAGCCGAACCCTCTTCCCACGGCACACTGCATTGAATCGGTAAATCACCGAAAAAACTGACAGCAGGGAAGGAGAAAGTCGGAAGAGAGATGTTACATGCCCCGTCCAAACTTCAACAGCATCACCGCGAACCTTGGTTCTACGACACAACTCTCTTCCAGCAAGATAGGCTTTCCACAAGCGGTTTGGTTTATTACGGACAACTCGGTTGCGAAAATCAAGAATCACGCCGACTGTTTCGAAACACTGCAGAGGCTCCTGCTGAGTCCAGACAACTGGTATGTCATGGTTTGCAAATGCTTTGGTGAGGGAATCCATGCGAGCGATCACATCAACCTTGTGGGCACCGAAAACTGCGACATTATCAACATAGGTGGAGGTAATGGTCTCACCTTCCCAAAGTTGTGGCGTTGGCAGCTTCTCACGGCACTCCAGTGGTCGCTCAGGTGCAGTCGCACGGGCTATCGCGGCGACCGTTTCGTTAGCAAAGAAGAGAGCCCACGTCCATCCCATGGGCATTGCACCAATCACAGGGTATACCACTGTATCATCGTTTAGCAGAACCATGGTCTCCAGGTCTTCATCGTAAACTTCAGTGATGTCAACACCTGCCTTTGCCCAATCTGCAGTTTTGCGGGGATCATCAATGCCGAACCACTTGGCAAGCTGTTTCATCTCAAACTGATAGAAGCAGTCGGCTACATCCAACTCGGCCCCCCATCCAACTTGATTGCAGTCGCGGCCAAGTCTGGCCTTCAACACTTCGGGACTCATCTCAAGATCGCCGAAACACGAAGGACTGCCGAGTCGGGTGACCGGTGGCTGTCTATGATGCACATTGCTAATCCGACAGTCAACTACCATGCGAATCCACTCTGGCGTTTTCTTCTTCACAAAAAACAAGCCGATGGATGATTTGATAGATGTTCGAAACGTCACAACTCCAACCTTCCACAGGTCAACAATCAACTTGGTTCGGACATCTCTGGACTTCTGCAGAATAGGATCCCAATAAGGTCTCTTAGGGCAACACTCAGGCGATGCATCCAACTTAGATCGAACCTCTTCGGCTGAAAGCTCAATGTGAGTTTTCCACCTGTTGAGAAGTGGAATCACATGTGGAGGCAACAGCGTCTCGATGGGTTTCGGCCGACCTAAAGAAAAAAGAATCTTCAGCTTCGCAGCATCAAAAGGTGCGAGAGTGCTGGGCTCCCCATATGTGGGGTGGGATTTCATCATGTCCTTTAAGGCATCACGCCCACACAAACTAGGACATTCCCCTGCTTCGGCGACCGCTGCACCTGCATTGTCAACAGCCACACTCTGAACAGCAGTCAAGGGACGATGAAATAGCTGACTTGCATCATTGAATTTTACACCTGCCAGTTTGTTCAAACCAAAGAGGGAATCACGTACCAGCGTGGGCTGTTCAGCAATGGCGCCACCCGGAATCGGAAAAACAAAACCATGCCGCCTCTCCTGTTCCAGTGTTTCGCCAAAATGCCTCATGCACTGAATGCCAAAAGTCATCTGTAAGCAACCCAAGTCCAGTCCCCCGACCCAATATGCCACAAGGGCAGTGACAAAGAAGAGCTAGGCAAAGGGCCTGGACGAGGGTGCAAGGCAGTCAGAGAAGACGGAGATCGAATTCAGAAAACAGGGTGGCAGAAGGTTTGTTATCCACCACCCAATTGCCAGGAAC